TTTTGTACCTCAGCACTCACTACCGACTAAATAATTCGTATCTCAGCACTCACTACCAACTTCACCTTTTGTACCTCAGCACTGACTACCAGCTAGATCTTTTGTACCTCAGCACTCACTCCAACTAGACCTTTTGTACCTCAGCACTCACTACCAACTAAATCTTTCGCACCTCCGCACTGACTACCAACTAGATCTTTTGTACCTCAGCACTGACTACCAACTAGATCTTTTGTACCTCAGCACTCACTACCAACTAGATCATTTGTACCTCAGCACTGACTACCATATATATCTTTTGTACCTCAGCACTGACTACCAACTAGATCTTTTGTACCTCAGCATTCACTACCAACTAGACCTTTTGTACCTCCGCACTGACTACCAACTCGATCTTTTGTACCTCAGCACTGACTGCCAACTTACATATTTGTACCTCAGCACTGACTACCGACTGAATATTTCGAATCTTAGCACTGGCTACCAACTAGATCTTTTGTATCCAGCCCTGACTACCAACTAAATATTTCGTATCTCAGCACTCACAACCAACTACATCTTTTGTACCTCAGCACTGACTACCAACTAGATCTTTTGTACCTCAGCCTTGAGTACCAACTAGATCTTTTGTACCTCAGCAGAGACTACCGACTAAATATTTCGAATCTCAGCACTGGCTACCAACTAGATCTTTTGTATCCAGCACTGACTACCGACTAAATATTTCGTATCTCAACACTGACTACCAACTAGACCTTTTGTACCTCATCACTGACTGCCAACTTACATATTTGTACCTCATCACTGACTGCCAACTTACATATTTGTACCTCATCACTGACTGCCAACGTACATATTTGTACCTCATCACTGTCTACCAACTTACATATTTGTACCTCATCACTGTCTGCCAACTTACATATTTGTACCTCATCACTGACTGCCAACTTACATATTTGTACCTCATCACTGACTGCCAACTTACATATTTGTACCTCATCACTGTCTGCCAACTTACATATTTGTACCTCATCACTGACTGCCAAGTTACATATTTGTACATCATCACTGACTGCCAACTGACATATTTGTACCTCCGCACTGACTACCAACTAGATCTTTTGTACCTCAGCACTGACTACCAACTAGATCTTTTGTACCTCAGCACTGACTACCAACTAGATCTTTTGTACCTCAGCACTCACTACCAACTAGATCATTTGTACCTCAGCGCTGACTACCATATATATCTTTTGTACCTCAGGACTGACTACCAACTAGATCTTTTGTACCTCAGCATTCACTACCAACTAGACCTTTTGTACCTCCGCACTGACTACCAACTCGATCTTTTGTACCTCAGCACTGACTACCAACTAGATCTTTTGTACCTCAGCACTGACTACCGACTGAATATTTCGAATCTTAGCACTGGCTACCAACTAGATCTTTTGTATCCAGCACTGACTACCAACTAAATATTTCGTATCTCAGCACTCACAACCAACTACACCTTTTGTACCTCAGCACTGACTACCAACTAGATCTTTTGTACCTCAGCCTTGAGTACCAACTAGATCTTTTGTACCTCAGCAGAGACTACCGACTAAACATTTCGAATCTCAGCACTGGCTACCAACTAGATCTTTTGTATCCAGCACTGACTACCGACTAAATATTTCGTATCTCAACACTGACTACCAACTAGACCTTTTGTACCTCATCACTGACTGCCAACTTACATATTTGTACCTCATCACTGACTGCCAACTTACATATTTGTACCTCATCACTGACTGCCAACGTACATATTTGTACATCATCACTGTCTGCCAACTTACATATTTGTACCTCATCACTGACTGCCAACTTACGTATTTGTACCTCATCACTGACTGCCAACTTACATATTTGTACCTCATCACTGACTACCAACTTACATATTTGTACCTCATCACTGACTGCCAAGTTACATATTTGTACATCATCACTGACTGTCAACTGACATATTTGTACCTCATCACTGACTGCCAACTTACATATTTGTACCTCATCACTGACTACCAACTAGATCATTTGTACCTCAGCACTCACTACCAACTAGATCTTTTGTACCTCAGCACTGACTACCAACTAGATCTTTTGTACCTCAGCACTGACTACCAACTAGATCTTTTGTACCTCAGCACTGACTACCAACTAGATCTTTTGTACCTCAGCACTGACTACCGACTAAATCTTTTGTACCTCAGCACTGACTACCAACTAGATCTTTTGTACCTCAGCACTGACTACCAACTAGATATTTTGTACCTCAGCACTGACTACCAACTAGATCTTTTGTACCTCAGCACTGACTACCAACTAGATCTTTTGTACCTCAGCATTGACTACCAACTAGATCTTTTGTACCTCAGCACTGACTACCAACTAGATATTTTGTATCTCAGCACTGACTACCAGCTAGACCTTTTGTACCTCAGCACTCACTACCAACTAGATATTTTGTACCTCAGCACTGACTACCAACTAGATCGTTTGTTCCTCAGCACTCACTACTAACTAAATCTTTTGTACCTCAGCACTGACTACCAACTAGATCTTTTGTACCTCAGCACTGACTACCAACTAGATCTTTTGTACCTCAGCACTGACTATCAACTAGATCTTTTGTACCTCAGCACTGAATACCAACTTGTTCATTTGTACCTCAGCACTGACTACCAACTAGATCTTTTGTACCTCAGCACTGACTACCAACTAGATCTTTTGTACCTCAGCACTGACTACCAACTAGATCATTTGTACCTCAGCACTGACTACCAACTAAATCTTTTGTACCTCAGCACTGACTACCAACTAGATCTTTTGTAAATCGGCACTGACTACCAACTAGATCTTTTGTACCTCAGCACTGACTACCAACTAGATCATTTGTACCTCCGCACTGACTACCAACTAGATCTTTTGTACCTCAGCACTGACTACCAACTAGATCTTTTGTACCTCAGCACTGACTACCGACTAAATATTTCGTACCTCAGCACTGACTACCGACCAGATCATTTGTACCTCAGCACTGACTACCGACTAAATATTTCGTATCTCAGTACTGTACCTCTTCTGTATCCTTGACCTCATATTCCCGCGGCAAGGGAGTTTGTCTGGCAATGGGTATTTTATACTTAGTACACTGTAAAAGTTTATTTTATGTTGATTTCATGTGGTACCTCCAATGTTTATCCCAGCCCAAATTCTGGGACCCTCTCTCAGGGGATCTGGCAGGCCTTATGCAGAGGAAGATTTTTGTCTGGTGTGGCCCATTCTGTACTCTGTGAGATGAACCAGTTCATTTACACTCACTTTCATGTGGTACCTCCAATGTTTGATCCAGCCCTTGAATGGTCCCTTCTTTTGGGGGGCCAGGGGCCACACGCAGCAGGGGGTCCCCGGCAGACATCCATATATGAATATGTTGGGTTACACAGTAAATGTTCCTGTGTTCGGATATTGGTACCTTGTTCGTTTGACTAAAGTGCTCTGGGCTGCCGCTCTATAGTATATCTCCACTGCGACTCATACTTGTAAATAACCAAGACAGCCAAAAGAATAATTATTATGCAGTGATATGTAAAACTTGTCTCAATTCAGCAATGAGATTATACAAGTAATTGATACACGTTCGATTTGAATTTACATCAAGGTTGGATCAGTGGGTAATCAAGCTTCAGTTCCCAACACTATGTAAAATACATTGATGGTTTTCCAGCATGCTAGTCCACGAATATGTGTACAAGTACTTGAATATAACTAAGCTCCAATCTTGGACAAAACATACTTGGAGACGTAAACAGATGCAGTGCTAAGTTTGTGTATTTTTCCCAATCGCAATATGTAGTGATGTTAAGCTGTCGTATCTGAGCCTTATGTCCTGTTGGGTCGGTGTTTAGATCCAATGATTTTCAGAATTGGGTCAAATTAAACACGCAAAAGCCTGCCCCAAAATGTGGGTATGATCCCTAGAATTCGTGGCACCCATTTTCACGAGTACTTTCCTGTGCATCTTAAATACACATGTGTCTTCTAATACAGCCAGGGAGCCTTCAGACAGGGCATTTCTTGGAATCTTGGTATCTCTGCATATACCACTGTATCAAAGCATAAGTTTAAGAGGTCAAACATATAGCTGGGTTTAGTAAATAATTTATGCTTCTTAACTATCTGCAAAACATATTGCTGACGTATACTGGTATTTACTGACACGTTTGCCAAACAGCTTTAATAACATGGGTCTCGGTTTAGGACACCAACAATAGTCAGATGAAACTGTAAACAAATCCCAATATGGGCTACATCATGTTTGACGAATCTTTTTTTCTTAGAATCGTGGTTTCGGTTCTTGGAAGCGATCAAAGTGGAGATGTATTCAAGGTACTGAGAGACCACAGGTCTTTAGTACACAGAACGTAGGCTAGTATTGCACGTTATTTCAAATTTGTGTCTGTAAAACAAGGCACGGGATATATCAATATTTTTAAAAGGACATACATTGTTATTGGCACTGGACAAGAGACTCTTGAATTTGCATAGGTTTACATAACCTTCTTTCGACAACAGTGAACGTGAACAGAACAAGAATCAAAGGGGGGTAATCATAAACGTTTGCCAAACAAGCTTTCGGGGAGACTACTTGGAGCACGTTAACATATTGCAATAGGTGTAGCACTACAGAACCTTGGCGCTACGACCCGTGAAGGTCCGGGGTAGAATAGGTCTTCAGCAACCCATGCTTGCCTTAAGATGCGACTAACGGGATCGGGTGGTCAGGCCCGCTGACTTGGTTGATGCATGTCATCGATCCCAATTGCGTGGATCGATGCACATCATATCAATCACTTGATTGTCTGGTCCAGACTCGATTATTTACAGACCACCGTGATGTAGCTGGAATATTGCTAAGTGCGGCGTAAAACAACAAACCAACCAACCACCCAACCAACCTTGTAACTCGCTTGTCTTGAACTATGCTGATGAGAAGAATATTAATTAATAACTTGAGCATATGGGTGAACTTGGTCAGTTGTACCCACACATACACTCTGTGCCTTCAATCAAGCAAATGTGTCTTAAAGAATAAAGCGTGCAGCAAGATAAGCAAGATAAGCAACAGATACAAGGACACACGGTCGTTCCCATTGCCGTTGTCTCTCGACGACACAATGTACACAGATAACGCCCTGCCACGACAACCACGAACTCCTCCGCCATGAATACCTCTTTAACATCGCTAGTGATACTGTGCACGGTAAGAAGTGTTAGAGAAGTTACCAGTCCGACCGAGTGACAGGCACACAAAGACGTAGTACTGACAAGAATTTCTACAGTCCGTATAGACTAATGACTGCTTAAACAACAGTTTGAACACTTTTTTGCCGAAAGGTTGTTATTCTGGGCATGGTTAACGAGAATATTGGAATGAGAACCCTGTATTCCGTAGCAAACTCAGAGGCGTTAGTTCCGTCCTAAACTCGGTTGAATAGTTTCGCTTTGATCCACGTACACATCATGTCATGATGGTTATGAGTATTGAAATTGAAATCTATTTTTTTATGGAAAATATTTAAATACGAGCGTTATCATTTTCATACACCTTATACATGTAACGTTGTTAGTGCGTCCCTCCATTTCACAAACTGCTCGATGCATCTCTGTTTTTGCAAATGTGTCGTGTTGTGCAGCATGACGTGTCCACAGTGTGTATTTGCAGTGTCCTACGGGGACATTCATACTACATACGGCTTCAGATGGCATCAGTTATGTTCGTAGACAGCAGTATATACGTTGTTCTCGCACCATCTTCAGGTGTGTCTATGTGTGGAGGGAACGCTGAAGACCATCAAGGGTCAGCTGGTGAACGTGGTGGACAACTGTGACCCCGCTGATCCAAACTCGTGTGGGGCGGGCAAATGCTGCGTCAAGGAGGTTTGTTTGTTTCTTTTTTAACGCCGCATTCAGAAATATTACAGTAAGTGAGTGAGTGTTTAACGCCGCTATGAACAGTATTCCAGTCATATCACGGCGTGTCAGCTTAATGTGGGAGGAAAGCCCCAAGTGATGCAGGTCTCAGACGTTTACCACTTAGGTGAAACCCACGAGCACGGGTATGGTGCTGACAAACCTAGAAACATAATCGGGTGATATACCACTCAGTGGGGAACTCCTACTATAAACATCCGTGGTGTTACTGGGACACCAGGACCCTATGCACACACTAAGCGGCGATCCCAGTGTGTGTAACCAACCTGGACAGTGTGGATCGATGCTCATGCCGTCAACCACTTGTTCTAGACTCCGTGGTGTCCAGACCGTGGTGTACAATCAGTATTATGCCTGATTCATATGGCCGGTTATTCATTGGACACAGCATATTCATCTCTCTCCATTAAACATAGCATAGCGATATTTCAATGTCCTTGAGGAATAGTGCAGTTCAATAATCAATGCATCGTTCCTGAAATTGCTTCTGGTGCAATATTTTCAAATTATAACTATTTCCTGACTTCTTCAAAACAACAGCTGTGACAAAGAAACGCAATCTCTTTCTATCACAAACAGTTTACTATCCTTGAGTTGTTCTGTACAACATGTCAGATAAAGGTTTCCTTAGATAAGGCTAAGATGATTGCAATCAGGAATGGTGTCAGTAAACATGAAAAGTGTACTCTTGAAAAGAAAAGTAAAGTAATATAACCCTTAATATAAATACTTGGAATAATGTTTCCATCTAGAGTTACTTGGTCAGAAACACTTACTAGTCAAGCATCTAAGGCTTTAATGGCGATATATAAGTTGCTTAAAAAAAATAGATATATATCTTTCAACTCAGCCACTACATTGTTCGATGTAAGAATGTCTCAAATTACACAATATGGGTCTGAGATATGGGGTACAACCTATTGCAGTAGTACAGATATATGTTCAGACTATGTATTTCTAGCGATGTCTTTGGAGTGGTTAATTTTTTTGCCTCTATTACAGCATCAGCTCGACAACACTCCACGTTACAGTATTCAGGTGTTAAGTCAATGTAGAAATGTCTGTTTGGGTTAGAGGATGTTGACGATGGATTATAATCGTTACCCGCGTCAATGTTACTTAATGCTGTAAAAGTTTATATTTTATCGGCACACAATTGGGTATCTGGGGTAAGGTATTGACTATTTTCTACTGATTTTCCTGTTTGGATTTCACCTGATGACGGTGACAATCTAAAGCAGAGACCAGTTGATATGTTTACATCGCCTTAGCATGATTCAGTACCGAACATTGGATTCCTATTCAGGTGATCAAACTTACAACCAGAAATGTACATGTTACATCTGCAGCATAATATGTATTAAATATGTGTCAAGTTTAGTGGCGATTTTAAAAAATACGATATGTGGAGCATTTACTAGAATTTGAAATATCCGCATTACAAAATTGCCAATATATATCAACAAGAGTATTGGAGAAATATGAATTCAACTAGGAAGGTGATATAAAATATGGGCGGCCATTCGGTAAAAAAATACGAAGTTGAAAAAAAGGACAAAAGTACGCAATTAAGGTCAAATATTACGAATCAAGAACTAAATGTTACTACTAAAGGTCAAAATACAATATTAATAGTCAAATGTTACGAAAAGACGACATAAGAAAAGAAAGAACAATGTGTACGAAAGAACGTCAGTGAGCACGAAAGGACGTTTTCAATAAAGAACGTCAGTGAGCACGAACGGACGTTTTCAATAAAGAGCGTCAGTGAGCACGAAAGGACGTTGACAATAAAGAACGCCAGATGGCGCTGCAATTTGTAAAACATTCCGAGTTTAATCGGCTTGTTCCGCCGTGTATAGTATATGATAACTGCATGCCGAGATGCACAATGTATTACGTCATTCCTCGTGCACTCACCGTCTGACGTCACATATATATATATATGCATTTATTTATAATGTATAATGTACACACATTGTGTATAAACATGTTGCGTTAAGCTTTGTCACCGCTAAAGGGCCTTTTCATAAATACAGTATACTGTGTAATCCAACATCTGCCTAACATTGGTACATGTATTTTGTATACAACCTTCAAAAAACACTCACTTAACGCTAAACTAGGATTCATCTACAGTGATCCAATAACTGTTTATGCTTGGTGCAACACGAGGGTGCTATGATGCCGAGTTTTGTTTCAGACGCACATTTTCATCTGAAAAGTGAACGTTGTGCGAGAGTTTGTTTTATTTAACAGCTTTTCGTAAACTGTGTGCGAACAAAATGCTGCCTAATATCTGAACAACAAATATATATACCAAATGGATTTGTATGCATATGTATAACTTACACATTCGTTAGGAAAAATAGCTCGCCATAAATAAAGGAAATCGAGTTTCATCTATGACGCCAGCGTTCGTTTTCAAACCATATTTATTTCGCTTGTTTACATCGACATTTATATGTGTGACTTCAGACGGTGAGTGCACGAGGAATGACGTAATACATTGTGCACCTCGGCATGCAGTTATCATATACTATACACGGCGGAACAAGCCGATTAAACTCGGAATGTTTTACAAATTGCAGCGCCATCTGGCGTTCTTTATTGTCAACGTCCTTTCGTGCTCACTGACGTTCTTTATTGAAAACGTCCTTTCGTGCTCACTGACGTTCTTTCGTACACATTGTTCTTTCTTTTCTTATGACGTCTTTTCGTAACATTTGACTATTAATATTGTATTTTGACCTTTAGTTGTAACATTTAGTTCTTGATTCGTAATATTTGACCTTAATTGCGTACGTTTGTCCTTTTTTTCAACTTCGTATTTTTGACCGAATGGCCGCCCATAATAAAAAAACTGATCTCCAAACATAGGAAATACCTGATTCATCCAAAATATTTTAAGAAAAAGACAATCATGTTTTAAGCCGTTAATTTACAATTGAGTCTCTGTACAAGACTGAATTGAATACAAACGATAGTTTGCTAAATTTTCCCGACATAAGCTTCGACCAGAGATTAAACAATCTCAACTTAACATCTAGACAATGTGGGGTTCCACGTAGCTCACCACAGAGCATTGTTAGAGGTGTGCTTTTCTTTACCGGTAATAATTTCCCGAGAAACTGTACATGAAACATTTCAATTAGTTAACCATGATCATAAACCCATATTTCACAACCATACAGTAGTATTGGCGTCAAAGAGATGGAGTTGGCATTTTAAAGACATGCTTTGTAGACGTAAGATAAACTACATTGCTTTCGCTGCTTGGTCACACTGAGTTTTAACAGATTTAAGTAAATGTTTTATTGCTTTGGAAATAAATACCAATATATTTGTATTCATCCATAAAAATGTAAATGTTAACAGGATCTTGTTAATGTTTACAGTCAAAATAACTGTGTACAGTAAAAGCTGTTGCTATTGTTTTGTCCTTTAAACTTAATTTATGACATTGACGTAAATATATTTTATGAACGCTTCATTCACTATTGCAAGGGAGAGTTCTGTCCTTTTTAAAAGACATTGTATGTAAGCTTCAAAAATTCATTATTATGTACCCTAAACCAGTGGAAGGTGGACCTAAGTGCTGTACATGTATTTGTACGTTTGGTCACGAGGCAACTATACTGGATATCGATATCGGTCTATCTGTTTCTTGTTTGCCGATACTGCCAAAAGAATAGATTCATGACGTAAACGTTTGCTTGTATATTTACAAGGATACTTTGTATTTCCATGTATTTCCAGGGAATGGCTTACATACCTGAGGCCACTGGCCCTAAACCTGCATACGTCATCCGATGCCAGGCTCTGGGTACCGCGGGACGGATGTGTTTCCTCAGCATGAACTCGCACGAGACTTGTCCCTGTGCCAGCGGCCTCACGTGCAAGGCTGGAGTACTGGGCTTCTTTGGCCACTGTTCGTAAACATATCGGCAAATAAACGTTGCTTACGTATTGCTTGTTTGTTGGTATGTTGTTTAACGCGGCAATATGCAATATTCCAGCTATATGACGGCGGTCTGTAAACTATCGAGTCTGGATCAGACAATCCAGTGATTGACACCATGAGCATTGATCTACACTATTGGGATGGATGACATCAACCAAGTCAGCGAGCCTGACCACCCGATCCCGTTAGTCGCCTCTGATACTCACCTTTTACGGCAAGCATGGATTGCTTAAGGCCTATTCTCACCCGGATCATCACGGTTTGCGAACTGATCGGGAATCGTACGTCCTGCATTTTGACATATGAAGAAAGTTGCATGTTTGTAAAACAACCCTCCCTCCCCAACAACAAATATACACAACAAAATTTACAATGTTTCAAAGCAGGCATAACATCATCGTGGATTTTGCAGGATGGTGCTCTACTTATGTCAATAGTGCACTGCATCCACTGAATTCACACACTCCTTTTAACAAACATCTTTATTACTCACACGTCGACGAAACGTTTATTATTTTGCATTATTATACACGTTACACTTTCGCTCGTAAGATTCAATACAGCCAGTTGTTATGAAAACGTTGTCAGACGGTCGTTTAGTAACCCATACTACTTTACTTCACTGCATTGCCAGATAAATGGTCAACTTCCTCAAACAAACAATCACAGACTATGGAATATAAATTGCCCTACAGAAATTCTTAAAATGGCGATTGCCTGTTTCTGACTACTATATTCATAGTAACACTGCATTATTCTGACTTGAAGGTATTACAAGTAAAACACATTGCAATGCTCTATAAATTTAGTGAGGTATTGTCATTAATTAAAGAAATACGAATTAATACTCGATACAAATGATGGCATAGCCTTATGGTTAAGGCATTCGCTCGTCATGCCGAAAACAAGGCTTCGATTTCAAAAATTTGCTTTTACCAGTATGAACATTATTTTCCCATAAAGGTTCCTGTCAGTTTATCATATATTTCTTCCCCATAAGAACATCTTGTATTTTGTTAGAAATAGCTTTGGCATATAAGGTGCAAGTCTCATGGGTATATACAACTTTGCAGATTTGGATAAATCGTAACATCGCTAATACAAATACCGTATTCAAAACATCGATAGCGGTGCGTAAACAAGATTTATTTTTACACTTTTGTCCTGTCTATCAAGTTCAAAAGCTGAGTTAAAAAACATTCAGCATTCTCCCGTCTCCTCATATGCAAACTTCAACAACATTCACCATGCTCAACTGCAGACTTCAACATTCACCATGCTCCCATTTCCTCCACTGCGGGTTTGAACAACATTCACCATGCTCCCATCTCCTCCACTGGGGCTTCAACAACATTCCCCATTTTCCCGTCTCCTCAACTGCGGGCTTCAACATTCACCATGCTCCCATCTCCTCCACTTCGGGCTTCAAAAACATTCACCATGCCCCCGTCTCCTCCACTGCGGGCTTCAAAAACATTCCCCATGCTCCCATCTCCTCCACTGCAAACTTCAACAACATTCACCATGCTCCCATCTCCTCCACTGCGGGCTTCAACATTCACCATGCCCCCGTCTCCTCCACTGCGGGCTTCAAAAACATTCACCATGCCCCCGTCTCCTCCACTGCGGGCTTCAAAAACATTCCCCATGCTCCCATCTCCTCCACTGCAAACTTCAACAACATTCCCCATTTTCCCGTCTCCTCCACTGCGGGCTTCAACATTCACCATGCCCCCGTCTCCTCCACTGCGGGCTTCAAAAACATTCACCATGCCCCCGTCTCCTCCACTGCGGGCTTCAAAAACATTCACTGTAATCCCATTTCCTCCACTGCGGGCTTCAACAACATTCCCCATGCTCCCGTCTCCTCCACTGCAAACTTCGACAACATTCACCATGCCCCCGTCTCCTCCACTGCAGACTTCAACATTCAACATGCTCCAGTCTCCTCCACTGCGAGCTTCAACAACATTCACCATGCTCCCATCTCTTCCACTGCAGACTTCAACATTCACCATGCTCCCGTCTCCTCCACTGCGGACCTCCAAAACATTCACCATGCTCCTGTCTCCTCCACTGTGGGCTTCAACATTCACCATGCTCCCGTCTCCTCCACTACTTTTGAGACCTACAGCGGGTACCTGGGTAGTGTCGGGTAATAGGCGGGTACGTGGGTAGTGTCGGGTAATAGGCGGGTACCTGGGTAGGGTCGGGTAATTGGCGGGTACGTGGGTAGTGTCGGGTAATAGGCGGGTACCTGGGTAGTGTCGGATAATAGGCGGGTACCTGGGTAGGGTTGGGTAATAGGCGGGTATGTGGGTAGTGTCGGTCAATAGGCGGGTACCTGGGTAGTGTCGGATAATAGGCAGGTACCTGGGTAGGGTCGGGTAATAGGCGGGTACGTTGGTAGTGTCGGATAATAGGCTGGTACATGGGTAGGGTCGGGTAATAGGCGGGTACCTGGGTAAAGTCGGGTAATAGGCGGGTATGTGGGTAGTGTCGGGTAATAGGCTGGTACCTGGGTAATGTCGGGTAATAGGCGGGTAGGTTGGTAGTGTCGGATAATAGGCTGGTACATGGGTAGGGTTGGGTAATAGGCGGGTACATGGGTAGGGTCGGGTAATAGGCGGGTACGTGGGTAGTGTAAGGTAATAGGCGGGTACCTGGGTAGGGTCGGGTAATAGGCGGGTAGGTTGGTAGGGTCGGATAATAGGCTGGTACATGGGTAGGGTCGGGTAATAGGGGGTTACCTGGGTAGGGTCGGGAAATAGGCGGGTACATGGGTAGTGTAAGGTAATAGGCGGGTACCTGGGTAGGGTTGGGGAATAGGCGGGTACCTGGGTAGGGTCGGGTAATAGGTGGGTACATTGGTTGTGTCGGGTAATAGGCGGGTAGATTGGTAGTGTCGGGTAATAGGCGGGTACCTGGGTAGTGTCGGATAATAGGCGGGTACCTGGTAGGGTTGGGTAATAAGCGGGTACCTGGTAGGGTTGGGTAATAGGCGGGTACCTGGGTAGGGTCGGGTAATAGGCGGGTACCTGGGTAGGGTCAGATAATAGGCGGGTACCTTGGAAGGGTCGGGTAATAGGCAGGTACCTGGGTAGGGCTGGGTAAAAAGCGGGTACCTGGTAGTGTGGGGTAATAGGCAGGTACCTGGGTAGGGCTGGGTAATAAGCGGGTACCTGGTAGTGTCGGGTAATAGGCAGGTACCTGGTAGGGTTGGGTAATAGGCAGGTACCTGGGTAGGGTTGGTCAATAAGCGGGTACCTGGTAGGGTCAGGTAATAAGCTGGTACATGGGTAGGGTCGGGTAATAAGCGGGTACCTGGGTAGGGTCGGGTAATAGGCGGGTACCTGGTAGTGTTGGGTAATAAGCTGGTACCTGGGTAGGGTCGGGTAATAGGCGGGTACCTGGTAGGGTCGGGTAATAAGCTGGTACCTGGGTAGGGTCGGGTAATAGGTGGGTACCTGGTAGGGTCGGGTAATAAGCTGGTACATGGGTAGGGTCGGGTAATAGGCGGGTACCTGGGTAGGGTCGGGTAATAGGCGGGTACCTGGTAGGGTTGGGTAATAAGCGGGTACCTGGGTAGGGTCAGGTAATAGGCGGGTACCTGGTAGGGTTGGGTAATAGGCAGGTACCTGGGTAGGGTTGGGTAATAGGCGGGTACCTGGTAGGGTCGGGTAATAAGCTGGTACCTTGGTAGGTTCGGGTAATGGGCGGGTACCTGGTAGGGTTGGGTAATAAGCTGGTACCTGGGTAGGGTCGGGTATTAGGCGGGTACCTGGTAGGGTCGGGTAATAAGCTGGTACCTGGGTAGGGTCGGGTAATAAGCTGGTACCTGGGTAGGGTCGGGTAATAGGTGGGTACCTGGTAGGGTTGGGTAATAAGCTGGTACCTGGGTAGGGTCGGGTAATAGGCGGGTACCTGGGTAGGGTCGGGTAATAGGCTCGTACCTGGGTAGGGTCGGGTAATAGGCGGGTACCTGGGTAGGGTCGGGTAATAGGCGGGTTCCTGGTAGGGTCGGGTAATAAGCTGGTACTTGGGTAGGGTCGGGTAATAGGCGGGTACCTTGGAAGGGTTGGGTAATAAGCGGGTACCTGGTAGGGTCGGGTAATAGGCGGGTACGTGGGTAGTAAATTTGTACTTGTCACAGCCCTATTCAACAGCATTCACCATGCTTCCGTCTCCTCATATGGACTTCAACAACTCAAACGACACACAAGACACAGGGGAATCAAATGTCACCACCACAGTGAGCTGCAGTTACCACATCCCTTCATCTGTTACCTGGTTAATATCAGTTTTTCTACACGTCACTTCTGGGGGTTACGGCCGCCCTGTAGGGTTTAATGTTATACCTCTTGACAGGCAGTGGACCATGGCAATGTATCTCCACAATGGGGTATAAAAATATATGTCAAGGAAATACATTCATTTTCTTTTGCCATTTGAGTTTTTTGGTTTTTCTAAAATACTCAACAAATGAGAATGCCATCCTTTACTCTCCAACACCTCCAGCAACCGCCTGAGACGAGGAAAGTTTCCAAATGGTGTTGAATAACAAGCAGTTGTGCACATTGTGCCATTCTCACACATTAATACATTACATTGGAAACAACAAATTGCAACAACTTTGGGTTATATTTGATGGAACAATGACAACAAAAGCACTAACGTACTATGTGAATAGTGACTTTATTATTATTATTATTATTCTTGCAATGTCATGATTAAATTCAGTAAATACAGTAAACCTGTAAAAGGGCAATGAAAATTCACCAAATCAGATAAAACAGGAACAAAGAATACCTTGCCTGAATATTGAAAAAAGTGGATTTAAGTAATAGTTTTTAAGATAAATGGTAAAATGTGATTCATCAAAAACGGATACATGTACAAGTATGATGAAACATAACAATCCGTGCTAGACCTCACAATGGAGGTGTTCTATATCTTCTGTCCCTGTGGGTTGTACTGATGGCAAGGAATAAGGGACAATGACTGGGAAATAAGCTTTACTGTGGGCACAGCTGAAATAGCGCACATACAAATTCAACACATGTTAGAATCGAGTGTTGAGATTGTGTGCATTGTTTCCAACGTGAATGTAGTAGACAAGGCTGTGAACCCATAGCATATCATTTTACTGTGTCTGAAACCATGTGTTCCCTTATTCATTGCCATCAGTATAGTTTGACAGTAACCTCAGAAGGAATTCTTTTAAGCTCCTCTCCGACTCCTATATTCAGAATGAACACCATCTACTCTTGTCCTTGTCAGTGAGCTATGTCCATCTACCGCCGTAGACTGTATTGGAAGCAGCAGGAGTTGCTGGGCTGTTGTGTGCCTACCACATGCAGGGGGCTCTGAAACAGAGTAACGCTATTATCTGGTGAGTTTAAGTTATCAAAGCCATAATATGGAAAAACAAAAGGCATTTACAAACAATCGGAACAGCTTTGTCATGACTAGAGGAGTTATGCATAGTTATGTACAGAAATTGTGAGTTGGCAGTTCATTGTTTGATACATAATGTTTGCAGGTAGTTTCATGTGGATTTACAACAAAAATGTTTCTCACTGAATTTGAAACCCATTGCCATGGACTGCTTCCAGGACCTATGTAGGTTCTACTTACTGGTGGAGGTAGTAAGTCTATCAGTTGACAGTCAAATCTCTGAAGGAACAATGCTATGAACATGTGGATCTCCAGCAGGGCAAACCATCTGAAATACATGACAACATGTCAGTACAGACCTGACAATGAGATGTAATCTTTCTACTCCAAACAGAAGCAGGGACAACTGAATTGCCACTCAGATCACAGATCCATGTCCCAATTCTTAACAGTGTAATACAATAAACATATTAATGTTCCTCCTTTGGTATTCATTGATTTCTTATCTCTGTTGTTTTTCCCTTTTAATCTTAGACATGGCCTTGTGATATCAATATGCATCTTTCATAAACCAAATATGTTTCAAGCTCCAATGCAGTTCACTTTTAAAAGGAGGGTGCATTTTGGGACTTGACAACTTGCATTCAATAATTATTGTGTTTGTTTGTTTGTTGTTTAACGCCGCACTCAGCAATATTCCATCTATATGACAGCGGTCTGTAAATAATCAAGTCTGGACCAGAGAATCCAGTGATTGATATCATGAGTATCGATCCACACAATTGGGATCGATGACATGCATCAACCAAGTCAGCGAGCCTGACCACCTGATCCTGTTAGTCGCCTCTTACGACAAGCATAGTCGCCTTTAAGGGTAAGCATGGGTTGCTGAAGACCTATTCTACCCCGGATCTTCACGGGTGTCAAACATTGTGTAATTTTATTGAAAAAATATGTATTTCTGAAGGTTTAGCAGGCTGTATTGTCTCAATGTCCAGTGTTAAATGTATTGTCCAGTGAAGAAAATATAACATAAATGTGTTTGCGTCTGCATTGGTGCATTTTATATGTCTGAATCCCAACTGGACAAGTCGGTATTCTAAGAAAGAGTGAGGGTGTGGTGAGGTGGAATGGGGTTTAACGTCGCGTCCAAGATTATTGTACTTATATAGCGATGTGCATACATTTGTGTGTGCATGCGCGTGCGCGCGCTAATCGGATTAATGCTGATTTTACAGTGCTAGCCCACTGAGATAACATGCCACAGTTTAACATGAATACCCCCCTTAGACACAGAATAGTGACCCTGAGCCTACCAGTCCTTGTTTGAGCCCCTAATACTGAGCACCAGAGAGCGTAACAAGTACCATCTTTAAACGTCTTTTGGTATGATGTGGCTGGGGATCGAACCCCGGACCTTCTGCTCTCTGGGCGGACACTCTACAACTAGACCACGGAGGCGGTCTTACACAGAGGAAGTGTAGCTAATCAGTTAATCATGGGCAACACCTCACCTTCCAGGGCACTGGTACCTGCCTCCACCAAATGCCACAAATCCAGGAAGGAAGACATTCTTATCTAAATCAGCTTTTTCCCATCGATCCTAAAATCAGAAAAGAGGGTGTTATGAGTATTGTGTCATATATATCGATCACAATGCTGAGCACAACATCAGTGTATTGCAACTGTCATAGACATATGCATATAACAGTGGTTTCGAACCCCCTACCTTGCGAAAACTAAAAGGTGTTTGCATTAGATGCAAAAATAGAAGCATTCCTTTCCCAGCCTTTTCCTGAATGTTCCAAAACCTTACCTTCAGAAACATGACCTCACACTACTTGCAGAACAATTTTGAAACAGAAAGTCCTATGTCTCTAGCTTCTTTAATAATACAGTAACAAGCACACCTGGTTTAATAACAGTCGTATAATATATGTAACAATAAATGTCCACACTTGACACGGTACTTGGTGAGAAGCACATAATCTTCAGCTTAATTACATTGTTTATTGGGAGCCTTGTATTGGGTGTCAATGTTTCCCACCACGTGCAGTGAACTTGACGTCACAACAAATTCCAGTATTTCGGGATAAAAAAGCATCACTTTATTAATATGAGCAAGGGACAAGGACATTTATTATACTAATTTCATGATCTTAAGTAATTGCTTAACAAAAAATTACCATCTCCTTTGAAATAACAAGCCAGGTGTTTCTTATGCAACAGCATAGGGGATATTGTTCGGCCATATTATATCTGGGTTTCTTATTGAGTTTAACAAAACTTCTCAACCACTCAAGACTGATTAATGAGTATGTTTATGTGGAAGTCGTACTGGCCGAAACTGTTCAGGTTGAGGGAAGTATCTGGTGTTGCGATGAGCCCAGTATGGTGACAGCATCAGCATATCTCCTGCTGGAACGATCCTCTCCTGCACACCACGTACACATTCATCTCAAACAAAGGAGCAAACATTACACATTCAAAATGTCTGCCATGCAGGGACACTTAAAATCAGACAGGAATTCAAGAGCCAATTTTATGAGCTAATATTGCTGGAATTGTATTAATAAACAAACTGTCAGCTTCTTAACATGTAGGTTTGAGAGGAGGTTTTTAAACTACAGTTGAACTAGATACCAGGGGTTTGTGTAGGTCGAAAGACATCAACAGGAGACAAAAACCTGAGACTATCTTACATCTTACATACGAAGGGTGGCTGAAAGTTCTGAGCCTAACTATGAAGAGGGAATAGTACACCCTCAACAGTTTGCATGTATTTAATACAATACTTGCCATCCTAAAAGGCTGCATTTAAACCAAATACACAAGCAGACAGCATCTTAATGCAGGCATCAAAGTGACTAGGTATTCTCGATTAATGAAACTGGGGACAATTTGCTACTGCACTGTCATGAAGTATCTTCTATCATTTCACATACCCCACACTGACTGCATACCCAATTTCATCATCATTGTGAGATATGCTGAAGTATCTGAGAAATGGGCAGGTTGAATAACTGCTTATGGTTTTTACACCGCTTTTTTGCAATATTCCAGCACCAGAAATGGGTTTCACACATTGTATCCATGTCGGGAATCAAACCCTGGTCTTCAGTGTGACGAGAGAACGATTTAACCACTCGGCTACCCCACCACCCTGAGAGATGGGCAGGAAATGACAATTTCATATTGGCTGCCATGGTGGGTCTTCTCAAAACCCAACCAGAATTCCATTAGCATTTTCAGAGTAATCATTTTTAGACTCCAATCATGGGTTCATCCATGAAAAGTTTCAACTTCATAAACTCGGAAAACCACAGCTTAGATTTTCAAAAATTATTTCTTAAATTCATATTTGAACGAGAGACTGCTACCAATCTACCAGTATCTACCTTGACAGTGAAGGACTTGACCACTCTCCTGGTGATGACCCCTGGTGACCGCAGTCTGATGGCCTCCAGCATGCAGCACTTGAGGTAGGGCATCTGCCGCAGGTCTGACTCACTCACTGCAACACAGGCACTAGACATCAGGACAGGGCACTACAGTCTACAACAGGTGAGTGAGTTAGTGGGTGGGTGAGTGGGTGAGTGAGTGAGTGAGTGAGTGAGTGAGTGAGTGAGTGAGTGAGTGAGTGAGTGAGTGAGTGAGTGAGTGAGTGAGTGAGTGTTTAATGCTGCAGTCAGCAATATCTCACCATCTAACAGGTGAGTTGAGGTGAAATGGGGTCCAACATGGCGTTTAAGATTATTGCACTTATCTAGCGTATGTGCGTGCGTGGCTGCTTGTACTAGTCTGGACTAATGCCGATTTTATAGTGCTAGACCACTGAGATACCATACCACAGTCTAACACAAATACCCCACTCAGACACAGTATACTAACTCCTAGCCTATCAGTCCTTTGTTTTATCCCCTTAATGCTGAGCACCAGGCAGGGTAACAAGTATCATCTTTTGGTATGACGCTGCCGGAGATTGAACACATGATCTTCTGCTCCCCGGGCGAACGACTCCACCACTGGACCATGGAGGAAGTCCAGGCTATATTACAACAGCCAGTTGACAGTCAAGTCTGGATCCAGCAAACCATGAGATCCACTGTCCGGAGATTGAACACACTACCTTCCACTCTGCGGGCGAACGACTCCACCACTAGACCATGGAGGAAGTCCAGGCTATATTACAACAGCCAGTTGACAGTCAAGTCTGGATCCAGCAAACCATGAGATCCACTGTCCGGAGATTGAACACACTACCTTCCACTCTGCGGGCGAACGACTCCACCACTAGACCACGGAGGAAGTCCAGGCTATATTACAACAGCCAGTTGACAGTCAAGTCTGGATCCAGCAAACCATGAGATCCACTGTCCGGAGATTGAACACACTACCTTCCACTCTGCGGGCGAACGACTCCACCACTAGACCACGGAGGAAGGCCAGGCTATATTACAACAGCCAGTTGACAGTCAAGTCTGGATCCAGCAAACCATGAGATCCACTGTCATGATGACACACAGACACATGCTTCTAATCAGTCATTACAACACTATAGGACACTGGGTCCCTACAACGGCAACACATAAAACAGTATCTCAGTGGGACAGTATACCTATCCCACATGTCAAATGGCAACCCCAACAATAGATCCAATTAAACAACATTCAACTCTATCCCTATATAAGTGACATAATGTGAGATTACTTTTCATAGTCTAAATCCAATTTTTCAAGAATATGAAATTTTAATATTGTCACTACTTAAGTTTTAATGAAACCATAATTAAGATTCACACAATTAAATGTCTCTTTTGAGAGACCTTGAAATGTTTCTCTTTAGCGTCAATGGAAACAATCTGTTTGATTGGCATTCTAGAAGTGGGGGAGCAAGTAAGAACACTTACAACTTCATGGATAACAACGTCCGGTTTATTGCATACAGCAATGTTTCGATGTAGATTCTTACACCGTTATCAAGCTGGAGTGACACTACCAAGTGATGCGAGGATGGAGTAAGACAAGTTCTATGGATGAACAACTTCTTTATTCATCCATAGAACTTGTCTTACTTCATCACACCAACTTCTAAATGCCACTGAAAGAAGTTAGATGTGAAGATGGTTGGTTGGTTTGTTGTATAAAGCCGCACCCACCAATATTCCAGCTATATGATGGTGGTCTGTAAATAATCGAGTCTGGACCAGACAATCCAGTGATTGATATCATAAGCATCGATCCACAGAAATATCTGCATGACATGTTGCTGTAAGCAGCAGATTAACAAGGAAAGGAACAGGTAATAGATAACAAGCAGCATATATATAACTATTGTTGTCAATAAACCAGACAGGTAATAGATAACAAGCAGCATATATATAACTATTGTTGTCAATAAACCAGACAGGTAATAGATAACAAGTAGCATATATATAACTATTGTTGTCAATAAACCAGACAGGTAATAGATAACAAGCAGCATATATATAACTATTGTTGTCAATAAACCAGACAGGTAATAGATAACAAGTAGCATATATATAACTATTGTTGTCAATACACTTGACAGGTAATAGATAACAAGCAGCATATATATAACTATTGTTGTCAATACACCAGACAGGTAATAGATAACAAGCAGCATATATATAACTATTGTTGTCAATACACCAGACAGGTAATAGATAACAAGCAGCATATATATAACTATTGTTGTCAATACACCAGACAGGTAATAGATAACAAGCAGCATATATATAACTATTGTTGTCAATACACCAGACAGGTAATAGATAACAAGTAGCATATATATAACTATTGTTGTCAATAAACCAGACAGGTAATAGATAACAAGTAGCATATATATAACTATTGTTGTCAATAAACCAGACAGGTAATAGATAACAAGCAGCATATATATAACTATTGTTGTCAATAAACCAGACAGGTAATAGATAACAAGCAGCATATATATAACTATTGTTGTCAATACACCAGACAGGTAATAGATAACAAGCAGCATATATATAACTATTGTTGTCAATACACCAGACAGGTAATAGATAACAAGCAGCATATATATAACTATTGTTGTCAATACACCAGACAGGTAATAGATAACAAGTAGCATATATATAACTATTGTTGTCAATACACCAGACAGGTAATAGATAACAAGCAGCATATATATAACTATTGTCGTCAATAAACCAGACAGGTAATAGATAACAAGCAGCATATATATAACTATTGTTGTCAATACACCAGACAGGTAATAGATAACAAGCAGCATATATATAACTATTGTTGTCAATACACCAGACAGGTAATAGATAACAAGCAGCATATATATAACTATTGTTGTCAATACACCAGACAGGTAATAGATAACAAGCAGCATATATATAACTATTGTTGTCAATACACCAGACAGGTAATAGATAACAAGTAGCATATATATAACTATTGTTGTCAATACACCAGACAGGTAATAGATAACAAGCAGCATATATATAACTATTGTTGTCAATACACCAGACAGGTAATAGATAACAAGTAGCATATATATAACTATTGTTGTCAATACACCAGACAGGTAATAGATAACAAGCAGCATATATATAACTATTGTTGTCAATACACCAGACAGGTAATAGATAACAAGCAGCATATATATAACTATTGTTGTCAATACACCAGACAGGTAATAGATAACAAGCAGCATATATATAACTATTGTTGTCAATACACCAGACAGGTAATAGATAACAAGCAGCATATATATAACTATTGTTGTCAATACACCAGACAGGTAATAGATAACAAGTAGCATATATATAACTATTGTTGTCAATACACCAGACAGGTAATAGATAACAAGCAGCATATATATAACTATTGTTGTCAATACACCAGACAGGTAATAGATAACAAGTAGCATATATATAACTATTGTTGTCAATACACCAGACAGGTAATAGATAACAAGCAGCATATATATAACTATTGTTGTCAATACACCAGACAGGTAATAGATAACAAGTAGCATATATATAACTATTGTTGTCAATAAACCAGACAGGTAATAGATAACAAGCAGCATATATATAACTATTGTTGTCAATAAACCAGACAGGTAATAGATAACAAGTAGCATATATATAACTATTGTTGTCAATACACTTGACAGGTAATAGATAACAAGCAGCATATATATAACTATTGTTGTCAATACACCAGACAGGTAATAGATAACAAGCAGCATATATATAACTATTGTTGTCAATACACCAGACAGGTAATAGATAACAAGCAGCATATATATAACTATTGTTGTCAATACACCAGACAGGTAATAGATAACAAGTAGCATATATATAACTATTGTTGTCAATACACCAGACAGGTAATAGATAACAAGTAGCATATATATAACTATTGTTGTCAATACACCAGACAGGTAATAGATAACAAGCAGCATATATATAACTATTGTTGTCAATACACCAGACAGGTAATAGATAACAAGTAGCATATATATAACTATTGTTGTCAATACACCAGACAGGTAATAGATAACAAGCAGCATATATATAACTATTGTTGTCAATACACCAGACAGGTAATAGATAACAAGTAGCATATATATAACTATTGTTGTCAATACACCAGACAGGTAATAGATAACAAGCAGCATATATATAACTATTGTTGTCAATACACCAGACAGGTAATAGATAACAAGTAGCATATATATAACTATTGTTGTCAGTACACCAGACAGGTAATAGATAACAAGCAGCATATATATAACTATTGTTGTCAATACACCAGACAGGTAATAGATAACAAGTAGCATATATATAACTATTGTTGTCAATACACCAGACAGGTAATAGATAACAAGTAGCATATATATAAATATTGTTGTCAATACACCAGACAGGTAATAGATAACAAGCAGCATATATATAACTATTGTTGTCAATACACCAGACAGGTAATAGATAACAAGTAGCATATATATAACTATTGTTGTCAATAAACCAGACAGGTAATAGATAACAAGCAGCATATATATAACTATTGTTGTCAATACACCAGACAGGTAATAGATAACAAGCAGCATATATATAACTATTGTTGTCAATAAACCAGAAGTGGTTATCCATCAAGTTGTAGGTGTTCTTAGTGGAAACAATCTTTTCCAAATCATTAAACTATCAAGTCCTTGCATACAATGAACAGTTGTTGTGCCTGACCAACACAATCATGTATAACAACACAACTGGTTATGAAGAAACTGACCGCCAGTTTTGGACTTAAGGACACTGTCCACTTGTTGTTTTGCTTTGTTTAGGATATCCTTGTCTTGCATGATGAAAGCCAGGGTCCAGTAGGTTATCTGAGTGGAAACAAAACATGCACTTAACACAGACACATGACGTGTTTCTATATCTACCATGTTCATGGTGCTGTTGCGCATTTAACGCCTGCCAATTTCATTGAAACCCACAGCATTGCTATTTTTTTTAATCGATCAAAAGAAAGCTCCCATTCATATTTGTTTTAAAAATTCTCATTCAACCAAAAGATGCAAAATGATCCCCAGCCACATCTATCAATTGACGTAAAAGAAGGTACTTGTTGTTTCCCTGCCTGGCACACAGCATTAAGGGGGCAAAACAAGGACTAGTTGGCTAAGAGTAAGTTCAACGTGTATGAGTGGGGTATTCATGCTGAACAACAGACAGACACCAGCGTGCACATTGCTGTATAAGTGCAATAATCTTGAACACAACATTAAACCCCAACCAACACTTCACCTCACATAACAGTGATGTTCACTATATGAAGTGAACTTCTCCAGACAAGTAGCCAAGTGCCTCTCAGGGTCCCTGGAGAGCACAAAATATACACACACTCAGAAATACTGACAGTTATTTGGGGGCTAAAATATTGATTATTCTTGTAATTTTCCCAATATAATTAAAACTAGTTCTTTTCTCTGATATGATACTTCTCTGCTTGAAGTTCTGAGGACACATCTATAGGTCACATCAGGTAAATGTTCTCATTAGCCAAGCAAGTGCTGAAGTTTCTAAATTCTTGGTATGAGAGTGTGAAGCGTTAAGCACAAGCACTTCTGATTTCTGTATCTCGAAAACTAATATAATCAGGGAGTTATGAATGCAAAACAGATAAAGCAATGTAATTATTTGTTTGTGGATATTATACACATCCTTTTGTTTCTTGCACTAAAACTGATGATGTATGTTTGGGGAGGGCACTAACTCTAGTGATGTATGTTTGGGGAGGGGCACTAACACTAATGATGTATGTTTGGGGAGGGGCACTAACACTAATGATGTATGTTTGGGGAGGAGCACTAAACTAGTGATGTATGTTTGGGGAGGGCACTAACACTAATGATGTATGTTTGGGGAGGGAACTAACTCTAGTGATGTATGTTTGGGGAGGGGCACTAACACTAATGATGTATGTTTGGGGAGGAGCACTAAACTAGTGATGTATGTTTAGGGAGGGCACTAACACTAATGATGTATGTTTGGGGAGGGCACTAACTCTAGTGATGTATGTTTGGGGAGGGCACTAACTCTAGTGATGTATGTTTGGGGAGGGGCACTAACACTAATGATGTATGTTTGGGGAGGGCACTAACTCTAGTGATGTATGTTTGGGGAGGAGCACTAAACTAGTGATGTATGTTTAGGGAGGGCACTAACACTAATGATGTATGTTTGGGGAGGGCACTAACTCTAGTGATGTATGTTCGGGGAGGGCACTAACTCTAGTGATGTATGTTTGGGGAGGGCACTAACTCTAGTGATGTATGTTTGGGAAGGGCACTAACTCTAGTGATGTATGTTTGGGGAGGGCACTAACTCTAGTGATGTATGTTTGGGGAGGGCACTAACTCTAGTGATGTATGTTTGGGGAGGGCACTAACACTAATGATGTATGTTTGGGGAGGGCACTAACACTAATGATGTATGTTTGGGGAGGGCACTAACACTAGTGATGTATGTTTGGGGAGGGCACTAACACTAATGATGTATGTTTGGGGAGGGGCACTAACACTAATGATGTATGTTTGGGGAGGGGCACTAACACTAATGATGTATGTTTGGGGAGGGGCACTAACACTAATGATGTATGTTTGGGGAGGGCACTAACACTAATGATGTATGTTTGGGGAGGGCACTAACACTAGTGATGTATGTTTGGGGAGGGGCACTAACACTAATGATGTATGTTTGGGGAGGGGCACTAACACTAATGATGTATGTTTGGGGAGGGCACTAACTCTAGTGATGTATGTTTGGGGAGGGGCACTAACACTAATGATGTATGTTTGGGGAGGAGCACTAAACTAGTGATGTATGTTTGGGGAGGGCACTAACACTAATGATGTATGTTTGGGGAGGGCACTAACTCTAGTGATGTATGTTTGGGGAGGGCACTAACTCTAGTGATGTATGTTTGGGGAGGGCACTAACTCTAGTGATGTATGTTTGGGGAGGGGCACTAACACTAATGATGTATGTTTGGGGAGGAGCACTAAACTAGTGATGTATGTTTGGGGAGGGCACTAACACTAATGATGTATGTTTTGGCAGGGGCACTAACACTGATGATGTTAATGGCATTAGCTAGTGGTAACCCCACATCAATACTGTTTATCATATAATGGGTAGGTTTCTCGGTAGGATAAAGCCTACGGATAAAGACGATATCTGTTGGGGTCATATGCGGATAGAGATGCAAATAGCAAAGGTCAAATAGGGACTACTTTCAGTGTTTATAAACAAACATTGCGTCGCCCTTGTCATTCGGCAATCGAGTCAGAATTAACCATCAGGAATCTGGATAAACTACAGAGATAATTGCTATCAGTATCAAAAGAACAGTCTACATGGTCTAATATACTTAAAATGTCTAAAGTGTCTAACTGTGACGCGAAGGCATTTTATAAGTTTTGGCAACTTTGGTGATATAAATTTAGAAACAATTTTGCGAGGGCACTAGGCCTAGCCAAGCGGGATCAGTAGCCATATCTGTGCTTGTAGACCTCTGCGGCTTGAAACCTTTTCCACAAATTAAAATAGTTGGATTTGGCCGAAATATGTTTGAATTGTTACCTTGTTTCATTTTGTCATGTATTAGGAATAAACACTATGTATTTAGCTCGCAAAGGCTCGCTAAATACAATGTTTATCCCTAAAGCAGGATATTTACCATCCCCAAACACACTCGCGTGATAACCTCTATTCATTAGGTCCACCAATACTACCGCTAGGACATACCGGGATGGCATTGGCTAGTGATGCCCACAGGAACAGCATACTGAAGTTAGCCATACAGTCCTTGTCCGCTATACCACAGACAATCTGCAGAAGGGTCTGTAAAAGAAATTATTTCTGCTTCACACCAGAACCGAGTTAAAGTTCATGAGCCAGTAGTGTCACAGAGAGATTCGTCAAGAAGAACCTCGAGGGATTACAATGTTGTTCAAGTTCATGAGCCAGTAGTGTTACAGAGAGATTTGTCAAGAAGAACCTCAAGGGATTACAATGTTGTTCAAGTTCATAAGCCAGTAGTGTTACAGAGAGATTCGTCAAGAAGAACCTCAAGGGATTACAATGTTGTTCAAGTTCATAAGCCAGTAGTGTTACAGAGAGATTCATCAAGAAGAACCTCAAGGGATTACAATGTTGTTCAAGTTCATAAGCCAGTAGTGTTACAGAGAGATTTGTCAAGAAGAACCTCAAGGGATTACAATGTTGTTCAAGTTCATGAGCCAGTTGTGTTACAGAGAGATTCGTCAAGAAGAACCTCAAGGGATTACAATGTTGTTCAAGTTCATGAGCCAGTAGTGTTACAGAGAGATTCATCAAGAAGAACCTCAAGGGATTACAATGTTGTACAAGTTCATAAGCCAGTAGTGTTACAGAGAGATTCGTCAAGAAGAACCTCAAGGGATTACAATGTTGTTCAAGTTCATAAGCCAGTAGTGTTACAGAGAGATTCATCAAGAAGAACCTCAAGGGATTACAATGTTGTTCAAGTTGATAAGCCAGTAGTGTTACAGAGAGATTCATCAAGAAGAACCTCAAGGGATTACAATGTTGTTCAAGTTCATGAGCCAGTAGTGTTACAGAGAGATTCGTCAAGAAGAACCTCAAGGGATTACAATGTTGTTCAAGTTGATAAGCCAGTAGTGTTACAGAGAGATTCATCAAGAAGAACCTCAAGGGATTACAATGTTGTTCAAGTTCATGAGCCAGTAGTGTTACAGAGAGATTCGTCAAGAAGAACCTCAAGGGATTACAATGTTGTTCACTTTCGAAAAAATGAAATAATGTAAATCATGTAATTAATGCATCACCAAATGAATGTGAGTGTCAATCCCTGGCTTAAAATGCATCATGACATCAATACGAGTAGCCGTGCCTTTGAACGGTTAAAACTAATCGGCAAACAATAACACTAAGGCTGTATATTTGATATAGCAAGGCATGATAGTAGGGCGGGGACGGGTCACTTAAGTACTCGAGGTCGGGTGGGTCCTGAGTAGGACCCGGGTACCCACAGGACTACCCAGAACCGTGGTTAGTCACGTGATATATTGTTTCATGACAAAAAATCACTATAACTTCATGGTTACACAAGTCACTAATGTTCACATTTCTTCATGACTCTGAACGCATTCCTTCTGACTTATATATGTTTGAATAAAATAAAACTTCAGTCAACTTCAGTGTATGCATGACCAGATCGTTTTTTACGTGTTTCCAAATATATTTCGCTCAGCCTACTGTCAAACTATTCCTAATCAGACATTTTGTACCTAGCTCTTGACACCAACAGCGGATAATAGGGGTGTGGGTACCCGGGTAGTAAATTTGGACTCGTCCCAGCCCTACATGATAGCAGTCTGATTGAGTATTATTATTAGCTATCTTCATAAACCTAACTCTAAATGCTTGACTTGGAATCCAAAGTAGGAAATTCCAAAAGCGGAAATTCAATGAGATGAGAAGACTGTACAGGTTTGAAGTGTTGTTACATGAGTTAATGCAATTCTTTCATCGTAAATGAGCAGCGTTATGTACTTACCACGACTGATTTTGCTATACTGGACACGTTCACGACTCGAGTTAGCAGTGTTTTGCTTGTAGTCATTTCATTAGATTAATTGAGGGTTACCAAGAACAAACATGCCATCATACAAAGTTGGCGACTGTCAAAATGCTGAATAACTTGTGTTAACAAACTGACCACATTTCCTACTTTGGTGAGGAGCACTGTCTTAATTAAGCACTCAATTATTTTGTTTATTGTGCGCTTAGTAACATGTGATTGTTTCCATCTATGTGAAGTCAACCTGACATGACACTATGCTCCAATGTGTCCAGAAAACAAATGTTTTACAAATATTATTCTTTGATTATACATCACAGAATATCTTTAAAAGGTATCATTTAGTTTGTAGAACTCTTCAATCAAATGTGTTTTATTTACAGCTAACCCTAGATTTGAGCACAAACATGATGTTTGTCTTTTCAATCAAGTCTGATCTACACGTTTCTTTCTTGATTTTCACCAACCTACTTCTTTCTGTGTAGAATTGTTGCCATCGTGCGTCTGAACCTTGCTGGCCACTGACTGGAACATATTCAGAAGAAACTGCTTGGACGTTGACCACTCTCTGTAAACAGCAAAATAGGTGACTTCATTCCAGAATCAAGGTGTTACTGTGCTGCACCATATTGTGGTGTGTATCAAAGTGATTCATGTCAATATGTATCCCCGCGAGATCCGGGTTAGAATAGGTCTTCAGCAACTCATGCTTTCCGTAAGAGGCAACTAACAGGATCATGTGGTCAGGTTCGCTGACTTGGTTGATGCATGTCATCGTATCCCAATTGTGTAATTTGATGCTCAGTGGATTGTTTGGTCCAGACTTGAATATTTACAGCACACTCACTTCATACAACCAGCACAGGTTGTAATCTGTAATCCCCTTGGGTGGCCAGTAATATGTTAGCAGTTATCCATATTTCCAACCTAACCTAATCCTACCATCCACATCTTCCCGAAGAAAGAGAGTTAACTGACTATAAAAGTCCAGTTTCCACCCTTGCCAAAGTAGGCTGGTATTATGGAGTTACATTATGGCTGGACTAACGAGTCTATGCGTAGTCCAATCAAAATCGCGCACCGAAATTGAAATCCGGTTCGTAAACTGTCGTGTAGATTTCGGTCGATTGCAGGATTTGCAAAGCATGTGCACCGCCAACTCGTTGTCAGCAGATATTTTCCAAATCTTTTCATGTTTTTAATCAAGGTGCTCACGTGATTTGATGCATTTCATGATGTAAGATCCGTTTTATCACAATATAGATCTTGATTATCGATCAGATCGTCCTGACTGGGCGCCACCATTTTGTGTGAAGAAAACGTAAGTGATACGAGAGGTGGAATCTGATTGGCCCATAGGGGAGGCTTAGAAGGGACATAACTGGTAATAGCCACTGGTGGCGCTACGATCGAGCCGAGTAATTCCAGCCTTGTTCGGCAAGGGTGGAAACTGGACTTTTAAAGTCAGCTAACTCTCTTGCCTCGGGAAGATGTACCATCCACGAAGTCACTTCATACGACCAGCACAGGTTGTAATCTGTAATCCCCTTGGGTGGCCAGTACTATGCTAGTAGCTGTCCATACTGCCATGTTATGTATTGGTACAGTGTAGTTTGCTATGTCTGTCAGACAGTCCTACCTCAGGGAAACAATGTTCAGCCTTAGACATTCTGTGTTAGTGTCAGGTGTGCCATGAGACTTTGTCTCTACGTACTTAGAGTTTATCAGTAACTGCTTACATAATACACACCATAAAGTTTGCGCAAGCAGACAAATACAGAGATGTTTGAAGAGCTTGAATGAACCTTGCATGGACTGCTAACTGACCCGAGGCAAGCCCCCCTTTAACACCCTGTCATACGGATGTTCACTGTCCACAACACTAGAGTCCCAAATGCATACTCACTTCAGAAATATAGCTGGCAGTTTGGCGCCATACTCAAACTGGTCATCAAAAGTGATGAAGTGTTTTGTAAGCAAGTCAAACTCCTCCTGGAAAAATAAACACATGCAAAATACTTTAATTTTTTTCACTGAGAGTTCTTATTGTAAACAGATTAAAGTCCCAAACTTTCCAAGTTATCCAATTTGTCTGTTGTCCATCTTATACCCACACAGGATCTTCACCTTCTTCAGAACACTAAGCCTACACTTACATCTGTCTAGATGAAAGCAAAAACAACACATGTCATGTCCAGTCCCAGTTTGCAGCAAGTACCACACATGAATCAAGTCTTATCTTCCTGTCTGGTAAGGATAGTCCATATCTTTACTCTAAAATCTAAAAGTTTAAGTTGGTAGTTTTTTTAACAGCCTGTAGCCTGGGATCCGATCTACAAAGTATTCGTAGAACTACGACATTCGTAAGCCTATGATAAACAATATAGTTCCGATAGCTCATAACCCTACGAACACTTTGTGGATCTGGCCCCTGGCCCCAATGACAGGCTCCAAACAAATGCAGGAGTTTTACACTGAAGTAAACTAGTTCTTTGTCAACCAGAGTAGATGTTGAAACAGGATGAATATTGATACTTGTGTATTGATGCATAGTAAAACACCTAATCAACAACTCGCCTTCCTAGCACAGAAACTGATGATTTGCACAGTTCTCAAAACTTCTCCACACCAGTGCTAACTCAGTACCAGTAACAACAAAATGTGACAAGTCATTTATTCTACTCCTGTATACTTTACACAGAGCCATGCATGATCACATGAGATACTGGACAAGACATATAAGCCATTTTGAAAGTAGTAGGATTATTGTCTGTATAATTAATACTTATATACCCGTGATATGTTTGTTTTTGTCTAAATACTTCCATAATGATATTTGACACTTGATATTGGGACAACCAACCTTCTGGGCTACAGGCAACACATCCTGTCCAAATAGGTTGTTAATGACAGCTGGGTACATTGCTGACCTCACGACCTCCATGAGGTCATCACTGCCTGAAGGATCAATGATGAGGTCAGGAATCCATGAAATAATCTGGCTTAATCTCACGTCTCAATGTCACATGCTTGAGTTACAGAACATAGCTTTAGTCTCAAATTTGTGAACTGTGTTAAAAATATACTTTCTCTCAATTTAAATAAGTTGAAAAAGCAGATGACAATGTCCTTAATTTGTAGATATCCCACTGAAAGTTATTGCTGTTTTTCAGTGAACAAAATACACAACAACCTAAAACAAGCATAATTGTCAAAATTTGTAAAATTCTTTAAAAACTTGTATGTAACCTGATAAGCATGATAAGAACAGAAGCCAGTCATACATTTCAGTATTGGAGCATCGCAGACGTGACAACATCATGCCTTATACACTTTCACAAGGGGAAAAAACAACAAAATCACAAACAAATATTTTTCACAAATAAGTAAATAGTCATAGTCAAAATATATTTCAAAATCTAATCTAAAATAACACTAATATTTACCTCCTGCTAGCTTCTCAAGATTTTCTCTAAAGCTCTGACACAAGTGATCCGAAAACAAAGCTAGTTGTGAGGCAGCTAGTTTTCCTTTCACTTCATCATGGATCTTTGTATGATATTTGAAGAAGGAACTCTTTGGCAGTGAAGCTGAAACATCATTTAAAAGTGGAGATATTTGTTGTTATCTTCACCTTGTCTCAAGCATTTTCAACATCAAAACCGCATATTATGATTGAGATATGGTATACATATATTACATATGTTATAAGTTACAAAGGAACACCTGAGATAAAAGACACAGCCTGCCCTAGGTGTTGCTATCCTATCCCAGTCTCTGCTGTCAAGGATAAGCTGTTAGGGTCACAACCTTCAAAGGAAGCCTTGCTATCAGGTGGGCTGCATAGAGATGTTTTTTTACAGTAGATGTTGAAATTCACCTTCTTGTCATTGTACAGAATTCTCTATTGATAACAGTAGCAGATTTGAATCTATTGTGTAGTGCAATTAATGTGATGAGATGATCTTGTCTAGGTGTCGGGTTTTTAAGGCCTGTGATGCCCAGGTCCATTGCAACTCTACACAACTGATGGTACATGTACCACAGTCGAGAAATAATACTTTTTGATTTGCTAAACATTCGGTCAGCTTGTGATGTTGACGTTCCCCACCCTCCCCATCCCTGTCGTACCCACATTTAGCCATTTTGTCTGTTCGTTGAGATACTGTCTTGGAGGTACATGTATTATTAAGCGTGCTACTAGCTCAATTAGTGTTTACACACTTTGGCTTCTGTGTGCACAAGCATCACTGGCTGTTCATGCATGATGTGAAACTTCACTGTGACTAGATGTTGCATTCAGAAGCAACGCCACAGTATTGCCAACGCACACCTCAATGATAGCTATGTTCAAAAGCATTAGTTCCCTTCTTTACTGTCATAGTATATATGGTTCAAGTGAGTGAGTGAGTGAGTGAGTGAGTGAGTGAGTGAGTGAGTGAGTGAGTGAGTGAGTGAGTGAATTTAGTTTTACGCCGCTTTTAGCAATATTCCAGCAATATCACGGCTTCACACATTGTTACCATGTCGGGAATTGAACCCGGGTCCTTGGCGTGACGAGATAACACGTTAACCACTAGGCTACCCAACCGCCCCCATATATCATGATATATGGTTCAAAAGCATCTTCCTCAGTGTGCTCCATCAAACATAAAATGTATTCCAAAGTTTTACACAACATAACATTCTCAAGAATTACTGTAGTTGTGTTGACAGTGTCCCTACCGACACGATTGGTGGGGTCTTGAACAGCTTTCTGAAAGTCTACATTTGGAGAATTGAAGAACTTGTCAAAGTCTTCAGCCTCCATCAGAAATGTATATCTTTCTCCAGCAACACACAGGGTAAAGACTGGACCAAGCTGTTATGTAGAAATTACATTTTATAATGGTGTCAATCAAAATTACTTAAGGACCAGAACCAACTTTTGTATTTCCACACATTTCAAAGTGATCATGTTGGAGAAATAACAATACATTGTACTGAGACATTTAATAAAAAAAATCTTCAACTTACAACAGATCAGTCACGATTGATCTGATTGTTTTTTAAACAAAATCAGTCAAACTTCTCGCTCTACTACATGTGAAATTTGACAAAGAAGATTAAGATCGCTGATCACAGCAGGGTTTTATGCCATGCACAAATGTGCATACTATGCACAAATGTAGAGATTGGATGCAGAAAAAAATACACTGCGTCCTGAGGGACAATAATATGCACTGTACCTACATTGAATTAAAAGTGCTCAAAATGTTTGAATGTGTGAAAATAGTGCTATGAATAAATTGCTAATGATTGCTATGAAAGTGTACGAAATTAAAAGTCCGAAAAATGTATGCTAGAATATATGAATTTACTGCTGTGAATAAATGATTATGAATATGTACTGGTTAAGGCAATCTGGTTCCAGACATCCTGCTTTAAAGGGGCACTGATCTAAAGCAATTCCCGGGACTGGTTGTTGCCTATGTTATTGTTTTTTCCCTGTGAGTACCCGGATGGTACGCAATGCAACTGAGCGTGACAAGAGACTGGGCTACCGTCTGCAAGGACAGTTAAATAAACTTGGAGGCAATGTTTGTTTTACCCATTTTTGAACACTGATTGGTTAACCGTGATCTATAAAGATTTTGACAAAGGGCATGTTAATTAATTTCTTCAGCCTAAACAACCAGACAAAAAGAATGGCGGAGCTCATCGGTTGTCGTCATTTGGAAATACCCCTGATTATTATAGTTTAAAAAAAAGTATCAATGCAGTGGAAGCATTTTCGGATTCGGATTGCGTCGATAATACGATTGCTACTCCCTTGTTGTCATCCACGTTTTCTGGTATAACCCTACACTTGTGTATTTATCGTCATTCACTTGATGCTCAGTTAATGAATTTATTACAGGTATAATTAGTGGTATTAGGGGTAATTATTTAATCTAAATCCAGGTTTGAAGTGAGGTGAAATGTGTGTTGATTTACTTTTTTTGTAAATCAGCAGATCGTTCGTAGTCATCTAAGCATTAACAGAAAATACATTGATTGATTAATCACTGTTATCTTGCACGGTGGATATGTCAAAAGTGAGTGTTTACATGTCTAGGTTTACTAAAACAAAGGGAATACACTCATATCCTTGTGTGAAGTGCTGATGTAAAAACAACATACTTTGTTCAAAGGGTTAACCGATAATACGTTGATTAATTGCTCATTGTTATCTAACTCAATGGATTTTTTAAGGAACCGTGGACGTTTTGAAAATAGTTGTCACGTGGGCTTTCTCAGCCGACCTTTGAGACTTGACACCTATGTGAAACACTTGAAACACTCTAAGTGATCAGTTGAAATGACACGGGTTATGATATCCCGAAACGATATATATATTTTAAAATATTTGACTGTTACAGAGACATGTGACATCGAATACATTTCTTTGTGCAGCTTCAGACGTTTGGGATATTGTTCCTTTGTGTGGATATTCACGGATACATTCCTCGAACAAGGAAGCTGCCTAAAATAATACACATAAATTTGGTAGGTTGTAATTATGATATTCGCATTTTGTTTTCCTTCATTTGCAGTAGCATTGGACAGATTCATTCTTGTTCCTCTACGTCTTGGTTGGGAAATTCCTCGATGCGCGATAGATGTTGTTTTCACAAGTCTTTTCCTTTGGGTATTACAGTCAATTTGTAAAATGTGATTCTCTCAGGCAATTTATAAAATGTGTAAATTTTTCAGTTATTTTGACTGAAAAATCTGCCCACTTCTTTAACAGATTGACCAAAATTGATTACGACGATCAAAATGACCTAAAAACATCACAAAAGATTATTATGTAGGATTAGAAGCCAAACAATATAGAAATGTACTTTTCATCGTAATATTTTCAGTCTCTTGGGGTTGATATTAAACATAAAAATGTTTGGAATTCGTAGAGTAGTATAGGTAATGTGGGTTCTGGACCACTTCCACTGGAGCCAGATTTATATATCTATACTGCTACTACAGGGGGGATTTTTTATGCCAAAATGATTATGCGATTCAACGATAGTCATAAGATTAAGTTAAATTGACTCCAGCTCACCAATACCTGGGGCCAATCATTGCTTTAGATGAGCCTAAATGGTAATGAAAATATTCTTGATTATTTTTATCAATAAAGCGATATTCAACATTTTTATTAAGTTCTTCGTTCATTTTACTAGGAGACCAGACTATATAATTACACTCTTCTTGTAAATTGATAAGAAACAATTGATAACCGTATTTGGTTGGTTTGACATCACTGATATAATAAAAACCTTGTGGTAATTCTCTCCATTTAATAGCTTTTTCGATTGTTGTGTTGTAATTCTCCATTATTATATATATTTATGTAAGCATTTGTCTAAATGTGATCTAACGATAGTAAGCAATCTATTTTTAATCTCCAACCAGTTCTTTGGTTTTGGCACGGAATAATTGACGCGCTTGTTGCCTCCCCTGTTCTATGAACTTTTTTTTCTCGTCTTCGCTAATACCATTGGTCTTACGAGATTTTGATCGAATCTCCTGCTTCATTGCGTTGTATTTGGTGAAACTCATCCTCGGATATCTTACAATCGACCATTGCTGTCGAAATATGATCCTCAATGCTGTTCAACTTTGCTTCGGCGAGTATCCAAATACTATCGTGTTTTAATGCTTTCTTTTGCAACCCACGAGAAATGAATTTTATCGCTATTCCTGCCAGTCCTGAGACTCCAGCCGCTATTTCCATGCCAAGTACGATAGGCGCGGCGATTATAGTTGATAATAAACCAACACCTGCTACACCGAGTCCCATGCCAGCTGCTACAAGCGCGGTGTCAACTTCGTCGAGAGCATTCACGGCTCTGCGATACAATCCAAGTCTCAACTCCCTATCCTTCTCTATTCGATGTTTTATGTCGCTTATTTGATGTAATCGAAATCAATCAACAGTATCCATATTTTCAAATGCTTCATCGAGCGCTGGATATAAACCCATAGTGTATATTACGATCATATAATAGTCTTTAATTGGTCTTGCTTAAATGTTTTGAGAGCATACATCAACCTTATCAAATGTATATTATACGGCAAGAATATCTTAGTAAGAGAAATACTACCACTTTTAATAATTTGGACCCCCGTGGGGGTTGCAACGGGCGATGCTCCGATATGAATAATACTGCAAGGTTGACGCTCGTGTTTCTTGAGCCATTTAATCGATAGACCTGGTAATATTTCGAAGGCATCTACCGGTACATCTCCGAACAAGACTTCAATAATAAGAGTAGAAAGATTAGGTATTGCACTCAAGTTAACTTTAATTTCATTGAATTCAGTAACCAAATTTAAACTAACGTTTTGCATTGCTGGACGACTATATAACATATGACCTGGGTTTTCTGACAGGGGAGTGACCAACACACTTTTTCGTTTTGATGGGATATAAGCCGCGAGTACGATGCCACTATTTATTATCTTAGTTAAATTATGTGCCTTACCCGTCATCACATACGGTGGGGTAATGACGATATTCAATAGCCACTCGATGTTTGCTTCGACCATAGTCCATTTATTATCATCGTTGTGAGTAAGATTGTACGAAGTGTTTTTCTTAAGGAGTCTACTAACAACGTCGACATCGCTTAAATCTTCTAGATTACCCGTGAATGTAACCTCTTTCCGCTTGTATACATTATCGTGTAAGTGTAAAGCGTATAACTTACCATCGGTACCGGGTTTACCGAATCCTTCTGTGTCTCCGAGATCGGAAAGCGCAATTGTATTACATTGTCTGAGCGTTCCAGGGCCTGATGCATCAACCATTATTTATAATATGGAGTGTTACACTTAAGTATCCTATATGTACAGGTTGGTGTTTTACATCTAATACAGAAATTTTGAGGTCTGAAATAATACCCCGCTTTAATTTTTTATATTGTAATGATGAGAAAGATTCCATTCTACCGCTATTATATTTTTCATTTTTCACTGGAATAGATCTGAGCACAGTTGAAGGACTTTCTAGTTGAATATTATCCGTCGTACTGATTTGATCAAGATGGATACACGACTCTTTATAGGGAACTAAATCGGGCAATGTATCTCCATGTATTGTTATGTTGAATTCTATATGTTCGGGGAGTGGTGTAATTCCAAGTGTAATTGCTAAGGCATCGTAAAGAAATAAAAAAAATTCTCCAGTTTCTATTTTCACTGTCCCATTCAACTCATTTTGTGTGAGACTAGCTCCCAAAGGCTTAAAAAATTCATCATTGAGTGAGCATACGCTGTAATACCCATCAGGTATAAAAAAATTCGCTAATAATTCTATAGTGTTCACCTAATAAATTTACCCCATTATTTCTTTTCGCAGCACTTATATTGGTCCACCGAGGGTAATACGTTACGTCACAGAGAGCGACTTCGAGTTGTCCATCTGAGTTATCGATAGTACGAAGCAGTTGAATAGACTGACCATTTGTTATTCCCGGGAGTGTAACATACATATTAAATATACAATGATACTATATCACAACTTAAATATTGAATCAACCATTATTTATAATATGGAGTGTCACACTTAAGTATCCTATATGTACAGGTTGGTGTTTTACATCTAATACAGAAATTTTAAGGTCTGAAATAATACCCCGCTTTAATATTTTATATTGTAATGTTGAGAAAGATTCCGTTCTACCGCTATTATATTTTTCATCTTTGACTGTAATAGATCTGAGCAGAGTTGAAGGACTTTCTAGTTGAATATTATCCGTCGTGCTGATTTGATCAAGATGGATGCACAACTCTTTATAGGGAACTAAATCGGGTAATGCATATACATTCACTGTTTTG